ACCTACACTCTTCTCCAGGGCTGCCTCTGCCTCTTCGCGATGGCTGACTTTTCTAAGCTGGCTTTCATGCTTCCCAATTATCCTGCTGCCAGCAAAGGCAACAACAATCTATGTCCTGTGTGAGGAGCCTTCACAGAACAGGAAAAATGATTCCCAAACAGGAGGTAGTGTTGAACAGTAACCCATGCAAAATTAAAAATCAAGAACTAAATGAGATGATATGTATTATCAATCAAAACTGAATTCAATATTTTGACTTTTTCTTCAACCCCAAGACTATTCCCAAATACCTCTGACAATATACTGAGAATCTGCTTCTAATTATTCTTTAAAAATTGATCTGATAAATAAAAAATTCTAAGACATAAGCAAGATACAAGAGAACACTAAATTCATTTCTTGTCAACATTTGATCCTAGACAAATTTTTCAACTTAAGTATACTTTCTTATATTCATTACTAAGTACCAACAAAAGGAATTTCAAGGAACTTCATGAGTATATACAAATTACTAAACCCTATTATGTTCACCAACTTTATAAATTGTTACTTAGAAGAAATGTTGACAGTTTTGAGGAAAACATAAGTCTAGAATTTTGTTCCTCTAAATACACTCATGATTACCAAATTACCAAATTAGAGAAAGAAGGGATAGCATTTTTATTATATGTAAAGACAGCTCTCTGTCAAAAGCATGGCCTGTCAATACACCGAACACCAACTAGACAGGTACAAGGTAAAATCTCAGTTCTTCAGAGGCAGCAGCTGCATTTTGTTCTCAGTAGCTACATCTGGGTAGAAACCACTTCACTTAGCATTGTAAGTGGAGAGCATGCCTATCATTATAGGAGTTGAATTAGATAGAACTATTTGAAATCATAGTAAGAAGCAAAATTCTAAACACATTAATAATACCAATGTAACTTCAAATGACTTTTTGGCTTGCTACCTAACAGGAATGTAAGGTACACATTTAGAAATGAGTAATAAACAAACATACAGCATTGATCTAAGGGTATAAAGTTATATATGGTTAATTCAGAATTTTTACCACATGGCAAATGAAATACCTGCAAGGTAATTTAGCCCTTCATTTTACAGATGATGACATGAGTCCAGAGAATGGGGCAGGGAAGATCATCTCTCTTATTTCAGACAGTGAGAAGATCCAAATAAAGTCATTATTGAAAGCAGCCACAATGTGATGTAACTGATAAATTGAAACAAAGTGTGAGCTGTTCTGTGGGTCCTGAACTTCACTTTGCACTGGATACTCAGATTGCTCAGCATAACCCCTTGGGATCAAGGTTCTGAGATCAGCTTGCCTAAGTTCAAATGTCACTCCTTTATCAGCTACTATGCAGCCTTAAACAAGTTATACATCACTTCTTTATGCATTTTTTGAAAATGACGAAATACTGAGCCACTCCATAGGATTTGAAAAGATAGGTATGACAGTGCAAAGCCACTCCATAGGATTTGAAAAGATATGTATGACAGTGCAAAGCACCTAGAGAAATAGACACTCACTAGTTCTCCAAAAATGTTAGGAAGTTTGCATTTGCTGAACCTCTCCCTTTAATGACTTTCTTTGATCAATTTCTATTGACTTTCAAGGTCTTTTTTCTCTTCCTCTTTCTTTTGAGGCAAAGTCTCACAATGGCACTACTGCTCACCTAAACTTCCTACGCCTCCCAGATTAAAAGAAACACCTCCCAGATTAAAAGAAAAGCATGTGTGGTTTTGTAATATTAAGGCTATGTGAGTAACATACTTAATTCAAATTAAAACAGTCTTGAATTACAAGGACTGAAAACATCTCTGAGACTCTAGGCCTTCTGTTTCTAAACGTTTATGGTTCTGTGTATTAACGGATGTTTAAATAACTACACTCAAATTTTGAAAGACATTTATTTCAAGAGTAATTTTAAAATCACATAGGAGAAATATATAATGGCAAAAGTTGTTCTTTGAAACACCCCAATTCCCTGAGGAACTCAAATTAATTTATCTGTAGAAGTTGTGGAGATCAGAATGGAGTCCTTTAATTTTGTGAGTATAGGGGGAAGATTTTAATGAGTGCAACACAGGCCCCCAGACCAACACAAACAAGCAAGCAAACAAACAAACAAAAAAGCCAACAAAACCAAACACCAAAATAATCCCTTCTCATTTATCTTTATGCCCAGCTTCATTCTTTGGGAGTATTTTTAGAACTAAGCTCTAGAATTACCTGTCTGTGGGAGGCTTATTCCTCATCAAACTGAAAATCTTACCTTCATATCTTTAATTAGCTCTTCAAATCAAATACTTCCCTACTGATAATTTTCTGAGTTCTAATTTTACTTTCAGAATGTTAGTGCTTACATTTTACCTTTCAGCTGACACTAGATAGTAAAATTTTAATGTTTTATGCATAGGGTCCAAAACTAAACTCCAAACACCTGGTAAATATTCCGAAAGAAGATGGATTAATTATTTAGGGATGCAGGATGTAGTCAGAGCATCAGAGCTGTGCTTTACTGTTAATAACAGGACCATAACCCTACCTTCCTCAAGGTCTAGCACTTGAGCCTTAAGACGGGAAGAATGCATAGACTGAACTCTTAAGATCATGTATATTTCTAAAAGTTTATTCTGTGTATCAAGAGAAATTTAAATAATTACATTCAAATTTTGAGCCACAGAATTGTAAGAGTAATTCATTTGAAAAATACACAGAACCGTGAGGTACGTAATGATCAGACATGTTCTGTCATTAAGCTTTAATATGTAACACAATTTCTTCGCTACACAAGAACACCAACACACATCAGCTAATGTTGCTCCAAAGGAAACCACAAAAGCCAATCCACAAGTCTCATATGATCTTCCTATGAGATAATATTTGCTATCTTAGTTTGACACTTCACATTTTTTTCAAACTAGTATAATGATCTTCAGTTTCTATAAATAAACTTACACAAGATTTTGTCATAGCTACCAGTTTAAATTAACACTGTCTAGGGGAAAACTGGTTTGGAAGCTGAATAGCAGAAATGTATAGACAATAGGAGAGAGGACTACCATTAAAAAGACAAGAACCGTATAAGCACTTGCTAAGCAAATCATTGGGCTGATTCAACTATCAAGCACATTTTCATAACACAACTATACACATTGTACAAAAGATAAATAGGGAAATAGCAATGTCAAGTGGGTATAAAACTTTGTCATCATCCTTTGTGAATCAGTGCAATTAGGCACTACATTTGCACAATTAATAAAGAACATGGAAGTCCTACTTCTACATTGGCTTTTCAAAGTCTCCGTGTCACATGCTCACTAACAGTTTGTACGCTGTTCGTGTAACTTTTCTGGAACAAACCTTATTGATGAAATATAAACCATAAAATCTGACTTTGTTTTTTACATTACACGAAACGAATAGCTAGACCCTCTTCAGTCAATTCAATTCTGCTTTATTCATATAGACCAAAAGCTGCTTGCTTCAAGATAATTATAAGGTTTAGCTTCATTCTTCTGTTATAAACACAGACACAATGGAAGATATTATTTACATAAACATGAACTAATTGTCAGGCTTACTTCAAGTGCTGAGACGCCATTTACCTATGGCAATGTAACAAACAGCAAGTACCTTTAATTATTCTGAATTATAAAATCGAATTGAACCCTATAATGGCACACAATTTTTCCTTCACAACCTATTACACTATACGTGTGTGTGTGTGTGTGTGTGTGTGTGTGTTTATATATAAAACCATATTGCCAAACAGAAATTCAATTTCCACAATCTTTTTCTTGAGATTTGTTGTAAAGTACTAAATGCTTGCATTGAATGCTTGCTCTCAAAAGAAACCAACCAACCCTGTCTGGAAGCATTTCAACTCCGAAAGACCTTTAAGTTTTTCACCCTGACACATTCCTGGATGTCTAGAGTAAAAGCAAACCTAACTTTTTTTTTTTTTCTCAAATGAATAAAGTTGCTGCTTGTGTTTATGGCTGTCAGCTCAATCAACAGAATTTAAGAAAGATCCTTCAACATCGAGAGTTAACGTCACCTTTGGAGACCTACACCAGCACTCACCTTGTGGTAAGATTGGGATGGATCCAGGAGATGGAGGAAAAAGAGCCAACTCAACCCAAAAGCACTACCTGTAGCTCCCTAAAAGAGGGCCAGGGTGTTGGGGGCGCTGGGAGAAGGGAGAAAGAGCCAAAGGGTGCGATCACAAAAGGGACTTCTTTCCAAGGACCATATTTGGGGAAGCGTTCCAGACCGCGGCAGTTCTCCTCGCTCTAGTAAGAAAGGGAATCACTGGGACCGCTCTGTCCGCCCTCCCTCTTTCCAGTGAGCCCCGGCGCTTGGCCCTCACCCCCAGGCCTCAGTGGGGGAGGGGACAGAGAAGAAGGCGGCCGGTCTCCGGGGCCCCTGGAACTGCTAGGGGCGCCGCTGCGAGGCCTGGCCGGTGCCTCGCGGCCTTGGAGGACTCTGGCCCGGGGCGCTGCACCGCGGCCCATCCGGCGGGAACCCAGCCCCGGTCTTCAACTCCACTCACCGCTCTCCACCTCGCTGCCTTTCTTGGCGATCGCGGTGTTCCCCATGACCCGGGAGACGGCAAGCAGGGGTGACGGAGGGGAGGGGACCGGGGCCGTCCCGCCGCCCCGCAGTCTGCAGCAGCTCCCGCCTTTGCTCGGCTCCCACAGACCCTGGAGCACGGCGGCAGGGTGCGCGGAGCAGCCGGGTGTCGGGGAGAGAGCTGCGGAGAGCTCCCCGGCAGCGACAGAGACTGTGGCGGCGGCGGCGGCGCGCAGACACTCCCCCTTCCCGAGCCCGCCCTCCAGGCGCGCCCCCGGCACCGCGCGTCCTCAGCAGCCGCACACTCGCAGCGCGACCTCGAGCCCGGCGCCTCTTCGCGGGCCG